TATTAAATGCCTCCATTTCTTTTCTTTTCTTTTCTGGAAGTATCAGCTATCTAGAATGGGCAATTTAAGGAGAAAAAGAACTCAGAATATTTAATTTATATAACTATTAGAACAATATCATTTTAGCTTCCTTTGAACCCAGCATTGTTACATTATCATCTGACATGCTATGATGGGTTTTCCGTTGCGTTTATCCAACTTTTGGTGATAAAAAATGGACTCTGGATTTCTTTTTTAATAGGCCATAATAGTTTGGAAAATGTGAACATTTATATTTTCAGAGTTCTTTGGGCGCAGGGATATGCAGCTCAAGTTTCACAGGAGTTTTTTTTTTCCCTCTTTTTGTTTTTAGTTTTGCTCAAATAATTTTTCTTTTTCCCTCATCATGACTTTGTGATATCTGAAGGTCTTGAGATATGTTGGGATGGTCGACGTGGTCAATCAGAAAGGGATAGTGAAGCTGCAAACATACAAGAACGATCATCCTTTTGCTCAACTATCTGGGGCAGATAACATCATTGCTTTCACAACAACAAGGTACAAAGATCAGCCCTTAATAATTCGTGGACCTGGTGCCGGTGCCGAAGTCACAGCTGGTGGAGTCTTCAGTGACATATTGCGGCTTGCCTCATATCTTGGTGCTCCGTCATAGTGGAAAGCCTGTCGCTAGAAGTTGATAGCTTCTTATGGTTCCTATAGGTATTAATTTATGTATTTCTATCTGGGGGCACACACCGAGTGTACTTATAAACATCATGTATGTCGGCTTTTATTTAATGGATGCAATAAATTTTTTGTAATCTGTAGGCTAATTTGTGAACTGTTTTTCTGCATGAGAGAATATAACATTCTCCAGAAATTATGATTTATTAGTGATTTGCGTCGTGGCTCCTGGTCCTGTGAAATGTAGGTACCAGCTGGGGATTTTTGGTAGATAAAGCTTGGTTTGGATGGAGGGATTTGAATTTAACAATAAAGCTAAATTTGCTACAAAAATAAGAACTATACTAGATTGAATGTATTTGAAATAACTACATGTACACTTGAAATGAAGTTGAGATGATTATATGAATGGAATCATTTGACATCTATTTGTTTTCTTCAATTCTTTCTTGTCCAAATCTTGGCATACATGGATCGTAATATTTTATACAAACGAAGATAAAAAGAAAGAAAAGCAGGAAAATGTCCTTTACATTGAAGTGCAAGTGTAACGGAATGCTTCTTCCTTAGAGCATACACAGTGGGGGGTGTATATGGGGGTGTATGTTACCGGAATCGGAATCGTCTCCAATGGTGAGATATGCACCCCGAGTCACCGGAATCGTCTCCAATGGTGAGATGTAAATGGATGTAAATATACATTACCACCATGGGGATGTAAAATAAAATGTATATTTACATCCATTTTTACATCCCTTGCAGGCGGGACCCACCCGAGAAAAGAGAAGAAAAATGAAGAAAAGTCAACATAAAAGGCTGGGACCCACGGCTGACCCCCGAATTTACACCCTCCCACTGGAGCAAAAAACATATTTACACCCCCGGAGGTGTAAAGGGGATGTAAAGGTCCCCGAATTCACACCCCCTCACTGTGGATGCTCTTAGTAAGATTTAATTGTCTGAAGGCTGAACCCGCCCGGCTTCATCCTTATTCATCCAAGCAATAGCAACTGCAAGCTTAAGGCCCAATTGGGAATCTGCATAGATTCTGTCGTTTTTTATCTACAAGTTTTAGTCTGCAGTAACGCATGACGCTTGATCCCTTTGAACTTTTGAATGTCCATTTACCCTTCGAAAGATAGAAACCCAGAGATACACTAACTCTACAAAACGGAAAAGGAAAGAGAGGCAAGCATCCATAAGGAATGGCTTGATTTACACGCAGTTTAAATCCCACAAAATAAGCATAAGTTATTGCTTGATTTACAAGGCTATACAAAAGGAAATAAATCTGGCTATTCAATTATGGTTGATACACAATATAAATCCCACAAAATAAGCATTAAACCTTCAACATTCGAGTGACGTGGTCCAGAGGTTTTATCAGGGTTTTAGGAAATGGAAGCTGACGCTGAGTTGAGCAATAAGCTTCCTCATGATGATGATGATCTGAGGTATGAAGGTGGTCACAAAGGAGCTTCGATGCATTGCGGTGTATGTTTTGGATCGAGACACTGAAGCTGTGGAAAATAGTAGGTCCGACAGTGATCACTATGTTGTGTATGTATGGGACTAGCTCGGCTGTGGTTCTCTTTGTTGGTCATATAGGAGCTGTAGAGCTCTCAGCCGCCTCCATTTCTCTCGCCATCATTTCCACAGTCTCTGATGGAGTCCTGCTTGGCATGGGGAGTGCTCTTGAGACCCTGTGTGGGCAGGCATTTGGAGCTGGGAAAATTCATATGCTTGGGATTTACATGCAGCGCTCATGGATAATCCTATTTGTAACCACCCTCTTCCTCTTGCCAATTTACATCTTTGCCACACCTGTTTTAAAGTTGCTAGGCCAAGAAGATGGCATAGCCAAACTAGCTGGAGAATTTACAATCCAAACCATTCCCTCATTGTTCTCACTTGCCACTAATTTTCCAGCTCAGAAGTTCCTTCAAGCTCAGAGAAAGGTTAAGGTTCTGGCATGGATTGCAGTTTCGGGTTTGCTCATTCAAATTGGACTGCTCTGTCTCTTCATTTTGGTGTTTAGTTGGGGCACATTGGGTGCAGCTGTTGCATTTAACATTGCAAGATGGCAGATTGCAATGGCTGAGCTTGTGTATATAATGGGTTGGTGCAAGGACGGCTGGACCGGGTTTTCATGGTTGGCTTTCAAGGAGATGTGGGCTTTTGTAAGACTTTCCCTTGCCTCTGCTCTCATGCTCTGCCTTGAGATTTGGTACGTGATGAGCATACTCATTCTCACAGGCCATCTTGATAATGCAGTTCTGTTGGTTCCCTTTCTATTTGCGTGAACATTAACGGGTGGGAACAAATGTTGTTCATTGGAATATATGCGGCAATAAGCGTGCGCGTCTCCAATGAGCTTGGATCAGGACGGCCAAGAGCAGCCAAATACCGTGTCTATGTGACAATGTTTCAGTCTCTCCTAATTGGGATTTATTTTCATGATTGTTATCTTGATAACCAAAGACAATTTCTCCCTAATTTTTACCAGTGACAAGCATCTGCAACAAGCCGTCACTAAGCTACCCTATCTTCTTGGTATGACCATGTTGCTCAACAGCGTCCAGCCAGTAATATCAGGGGTTGCAATTGGAGGTGGATGGCAGGCAATGGTAGCTTATATAAACTTGGGTTGCTAACTTGCTACTACGTTTTTGGACATCCTCTTGGATATCTTCTTGGTTATACTGCTTAACTGGGTGTTACGGGACTTTGGGGTGGCATGATATGTGGAACTGCTCTCCAAACCTTGCTTCTGTTGTTTGTGCTCTACAAAACCAACTGGAACAATGAGGTGGAGCAAGCAACTCATTCAAATTGGACTGCTCTGTCTCTTCATTTTGGTGTTTAGTTGGGGCACATTGGGTGCAGCTGTTGCATTTAACATTGCAAGATGGCAGATTGCAATGGCTGAGCTTGTGTATATAATGGGTTGGTGCAAGGACGGCTGGACCGGGTTTTCATGGTTGGCTTTCAAGGAGATGTGGGCTTTTGTAAGACTTTCCCTTGCCTCTGCTCTCATGCTCTGCCTTGAGATTTGGTACGTGATGAGCATACTCATTCTCACAGGCCATCTTGATAATGCAGTTCTGTTGGTTCCCTTTCTATTTGCGTGAACATTAACGGGTGGGAACAAATGTTGTTCATTGGAATATATGTGGCAATAAGCGTGCGCGTCTCCAATGAGCTTGGATCAGGACGGCCAAGAGCAGCCAAATACTGTGTCTATGTGACAATGTTTCAGTCTCTCCTAATTGGGATTTTTTTTTCATGATTGTTATCTTGATAACCAAAGACAATTTCTCCCTAATTTTTACAAGTGACAAGCATCTGCAACAAGCCGTCGCTAAGCTACCCTATCTTCTTGGTATAACTATGTTGCTCAACAGCGTCCAGCCAGTAATATCAGGGGTTGCAATTGGAGGTGGATGGGAGGCAATGGTAGCTTATATAAACTTNTTGCTACTAAATGTTTGGACATCCTCTTGGATATCTTCTTGGTTATACTGCTTAACTGGGTGTTACGGGACTTTGGGGTGGCATGATATGCGGAACTGCTCTCCAAACTTTGCTTCTGTTATTTGTACTCTACAAAACCAACTGGAACAATGAGATGGAGCAAGCAACAAAACGTGTGAGGAAGTGGGGTGGTCAAGACATCACAGTTGAGAATGGAGCTCAAAGTACATAAAATATTATTGCACCCAGTGATTTGATATGCTCTTCAGCAGACTCGAAGTTCTGAGCCTGCAAGTGTTGAATTGGTTTCTATTCCTTTGCCTGTTTTCAACTGTTCGGTGTTTTCTTTCGGTTTGACATTTGCAATGAGATGATTAAATTTCTTGATTAGTGACAATGGCATGGAGGGATGCTTGGTAAGCACGTAAATTTAACAAGCTATAGAGTGCTAATTCATATTCATCCAAGCAATAGCAACTGCAAGCTTAAGGCCCAATTAAGAATCTGCATAGATTCTGTTTTTTTTTTTTAATCTACAAATTTTAGTCTGCAGTAACACATGACGCTTGATGCCTTTGAATTTTTGAATGTCCATTGTAAAGAGAGAAAACCGAGAGATACAGAAACCAGTCCTAGCAGACTTGAAGTTCTGAGCCTGCAAGTGTTGAATTGGTTTCTATTCCTTTGCCTGTTTTCAACTGTTCGGTGTTTTCTTTCGGTTTGACATTTGCAATGAGATGATTGAATTTCTTGATTAGTGACAATGGCATGGAGGGATGCTTGGTAAGCACGTAAATTTAACAAGCTATAGAATGCTAATTCATATTCATCCAAGCAATAGCAACTGCAAGCTTAAGGCCCAATTAAGAATCTGCATAGATTCTGTTTTTTTTTTTAATCTACAAATTTTAGTCTGCAGTAACACATGACCCTTGATGCCTGTGAATTTTTGAATGTCCATTGTAAAGAGAGAAAACCGAGAGATACAGAAACCAGTCCTATGGATCAGTTGATCTTGGGACTCAGGTAAAACTTTGGATCCCTAAAAAACCTTGAAACTACTTCTGCCTTGTCAGCAGAGAGGTCTGTGTTTTCCAGAATTTGCTCCTTCGATGCCTTGGCAATTGCTTCAATCGAACCAATCGCTTGGTTAAGCTGAACAAAATTGCCACAATATAAGAAACACAAAATGTAGCATGACAACCTAATAATCACACTGTACAACTCAAATGCTGGAAGCTTTACTTCAATTAGTCTTTATGTTTTCCTTTTTCCTCAATGATCTATTCTTGAGTTAATGATTGTTACAGAGTATAGAAATGCATTCAAAAATTTCATGTTGACATTAAGAAGCCAGTGGGAAATAGCAAGAATCAGAATTCAGGGATTTAAACTGGACTTTCTAACCCAAAGCTACAGAAATAAAATTATTTGGAACAACATTATTTCAGACGTGTTCAGAAAAACAATACAATTATACTTCTTGCACAACTCCAACAATCACAAACAATTAGCAAACTTTGGGATGCTAATTAAAAGTAGATCTACCATTTTTAACATTTCGTTTTTCCCAAATCAACAACACATACCAAAAAAAGAAAAAAGGAGTCTATTAACTTCTTCCTACTTCCGAGAAGTATAATTTCTTAGTATGTAGCAAGGATTTTTTAACGAATGGATCAATGGATTTTATTAACAGCGGAGAAAGCAACAAGATGAGTTAAGTACCGCATTCGCATCATGACTGTCAATACCAGGAATGCATGTGACCACTCTTTGAAACACATTCACTGCTTGCACAGTTTGCTTCCTCTTTTCAAACAACCACCAAGAGAAGAAGTAAAAAGAAATGTGCATGTTAGAACAATATGGTTAACATTCGTATTGACATTAAACAATGAAGCAGCTTATTGTATCAACCTCAGCCTTCAATTTTGCGGTAGCATCCTCTCGCTTGCATACTGTAATTAGCGGTTACTTAGGCAAATTATTACTTGGGAATTTATTTTTTTTATATCAAAGTTAGTTTCAGAGAACAATACTTACCCCCACGAGAGTGAGCTATCTTCACCATCTTTTCAAACCCCATTTCCAAGTCCTTAACCAGAACGAATGTGGGTTTACCAAGCTCCATTCCAAATCTTCACAGATTCAAACAGATGCAATTACTTTTTAATCAATCAGTCACAGTACAGACAATCCAAATTAGTAAATATTAAAGGAATCGCATTTATGATTTGTATAGGTGAATCACATCTCTAAATATAGGACACAAGTTTCTTATAACTCACTTGAAGTAAGAACGCACAAACAAATCATTTTTCTCCTTGGTTGGGAGGGTGATGACAACGTATAGATTTGCAAATTGCAGCTTCAGCTTTTGAACTCTGTACAACTAAACAAATCGCATCAAACCTAAAAAGACAGAGACGGACACACACACAAGAGGCATCAGGAAATGACAACAACTTGGTCACCTGCCGAAGATTTGTGAGATGCAAGTGGGATCCAAGCTTGTCACAAAGATGAATGCCACAGATGAACCTCCACAGTTGAAAATGAAGTCCTGCAATACAAATGGAACCATCACAGAGTTGAGTCAAGTGAGTGAAAAGTGATGCACCAATTTTGTTTTCTTTTTCTTTTCGACTTGAGAATGTGAGATGAATACAATGAAGGAAATTACAGGGGCAATTGGGACAAAGTTAAGACGGAAAACGTTTGCAGTGAGGAAGGTGGAAATGAAGTTGATGAAAGATGGGTGTTGTTCATCTCTCCATGTGTTGCTCATCATACAAACCCCACCACCACCACCTGCAATTACAAACATAATTTAATTAATCCTACCATTTCAAGGACAAATTATTTATAATCTAATGATAGAGTTATGAGTAAAGAGCAGAAAACAAGTACGTAGAAATTGTAGATGTTAAATACCATTTTCTGATTTTCTGATGGATCATTTGTAGAAAAGATTAGCAAAAACTATAAACTAAAAAAAGGACGAATTTTAAGAAATTCAAATCAAAATTTCAGTTCCTTCTTCTACTTCTTATTTAGATTAAAAAAACAAAAAAAAGGCTTGGACTAGGAGATCACTGAGAAAGTGAGATTTAGGTGGAAATTTCAATTCCAATTTTTAAATTTTTGAAGAACCAAACAGAGCATAAGTGAAAACGAACGGAGAAAAAACAAGAGTATTCTGATACATCAAACAGAGAACTTCCTTTACAAAATTTCAATTCCTTCGCCTTTTCTTCTTCTTCTTCATATATTTTTCCTTACGGATCAAACAAATTTAATGCTCCGTTTGGAGAAATGTCTTGGGTTAAGAGAATATTATTGCAGAAGAAGTGAGATTTATGGTGGACATTCCAGTTTCTGCATCCAAATTTTCCAAGTAACCAAACAGAGCATAGGTGAAATCTATCGGAGCAAAAATGAGATTACAACAAACAGAAAAGAAAATCTAAGCAAAAATATGAATGAGCAAGTAGAAATTGAAAGAAAAAAGGTACCTGAGTTTATGGCCCTCGATGGAATTTGAGACGTTTCTTTCGTATTCGCCATTTCCAAAGCTCTGAGTCTGAGATATTTGGAGAGTTGGGGCGTAGCGGGAAAAGTGAGGTGAGTGTTAGTCGCCTTTAAAATATGAATCCCCGCGGTCTCTTTTATTTACGAAATTATCCAATCAATGGGCCCCAATTTCCAACGCAATTTTGAAACGAGGCCCACTTCATTTTTGGCCCAAAGCTTTCCTACTTCACAAATCCGATCTCTGCTTTCAGAGAAAGAAGGAAAATGGAGTCTTCAACTTCCTCAATCTCCATGACAGCCTCCTCAAACCCACCTTCCAAACGCCTTTTGTTTGATCGCCGTTATGGTTGGGTGTAAGTATCTCTTCTCTCTCTCTCTCTCTCTCTCTCTCTTATATATATATATATATAGACGTAATTCAGCTTAAAATAATTGATATTCATGTTTCAGAATTGATGAATGGAAAGACCCATCGGAGGAAGCTCTGGCGGGTGGCCGAGGAATGTAAGTTCTTTTTCTTACTTTACCTTAGAGAACCCACTGATTGGTTACTGAGAAAAAAAGGGTAGAAAAGAAATGTGGAAATGGGATATTATTGGACTTTTTAAGTATACTACTTAATTTTAAGCCTAATTGTTGTCCTAATGGCTTTGATTAAGGTTTTGCGTCCTGCCTCTTGCAAAATCTTTGATAAAGATGGCTTCGCAGTCGGTATGATGAATTTTCAGCTCATTCTTACATTTACATTTGAGATTCTTGTTATTCTATATTTCACTAAAAAACTGAATTCACTATTAGTTCTTTGATATGTGTTTTGCACTTTCTTTATGTACGTTAACATTTTGACAACTTATTTGGCATCAGACATATTAATTTTATTAGGGTGTGCTAATTGGACTTTGGGGATTATCAATAATTTAACCATCTGAGAGGCACAGATAAACAGAATTTGGTCTCTCTGGACTTCATAAGTTTAGACTACTGCCGAAAGAAAGGTGCTTTAAACTTATCAAAAATTACCCAAAAAAGGGATCAAAATGCTTTAAGTCCAGTCAGTCAGCTTTTGTTTTCACTACATGTTGGTGAAGCCGTTGAGCTAGACTTGCCCCTGGTTGTTGTTGTTGTGATTTGTACCACTGGAACTTAGCTTGCCACTTTCCCACATGCCATGAAGAAGTTATAGTGTTGTACTGTGCTGATAGTTTCATTGCATAAAAATATGTAAGCTATGTTTGTTTGCGACCACCACGTTGATAATTTTAGAACAATTCATCCATCAGCGTACATTGAAACGTTTTAAACCCCTCACTGTAAGAAATGTTTTACAATGATTGAAAGAAATACTCACTTTGTAGCTAGAAATCAAGGGCAACCCAGAGTCTCTTCCCTCTGCCAGCATATCTGCTGTGGACTTAGCTGATACAGGAAATCTGTGAGCCAAGGAGGGCAAAAGAGCCGTTAATTTAGTGTCTTCCATCATCATGCATTAGCCGATTCACCCTATAATTTGTGTTGGGGAAATCAATATGGCTTTGTGAGATAGAATACAAAGGAGAATTAGTTTGGTTGTAGGCTTAGCTGTGATAGATAGACATGAATTATAGCAAATATGTGATATTCAAATATTATTTTTTGACCCTCATTACACCTACCCCTCCTGGATTTATCAGACACTGGTTATCAACACATAAATTCTAAACCAGATGTGATCTAAATTTTAAACTAAGTAACAAACTATACTTGCATATACCTCCTTTCCCATGTTTTATGCACATACAGTTATCCAGTTGGAGTAGGAAACAATAGGATGTAGATACACAACATGTTAACTATATGTATGTATGTTTGTGCTATATGTATATGTCCCAAACTTTTTCATCTTCATAGTAAAAATTCTATTTAGTTGGATACTTGAAAGACTAACTGTTTCAGTAAAGTATTATACAAATTCAACTGTCAAGTGTTGTATGAACTATCTCTGGCTGTGCTGCGTTGGCAATAAAATCGTAGAGAGTTTTGAATATTTGAATATAATGTGTAACAAACATGGCAAACATACCACTTCATTTATACTTATGTTTTTCCCTTGTTTATTAGTTATTTGCTTTTGTGAGTGTGAGGTATGGTGATGGCTTCGTGAGGGGTGAGGAGAACCATGTAAGGAGGGCAAAAGGGCCTTTAATTTTAAGTGTCTCCCATCATCATGCATTAGAATGCAAAAGAGTTCAATTTGGTTGGAGGCTCAGCTGTGATAGACCTGAATTACAGCAAATATATGATATTCAGAATTTATTTGTTAACCCTACCCCTCCTGGATTTATTTATTTGACAGTGGTCATCAACACATAAATTTTAAACCAGCTGAGATCTAAATTTAAAATGAGTAAAGTCACTATACTTGCATATGCCTCCTTTCCCATATTTTATACAATTATACAGATGGAATAGGAAAAGGTAGGATATAGATACATGATGTAGAATAGATGGCAAAAGCAACCGAAGAGAAGTTGGAGAGATGCACGCGTAAGGATAAATCATGCAAATAATAGATTTGGACTCCGAGCTCAAAATCGAGCTCATGACCCCTTTATTTGAGATCGTTTAGTAAGTATGAAATCCAGTTTTAACAATTTTTGGAAACTTTATTTTTTTTTCTTTCCAATTTTAATTCCTTGTTTATTCCTAGGGTTTTTAGGAGTATTTAAATAGATTTTACCCGTGGCTAGAGTTATGTTTTGTTATTCCAATTTATCAAATAAACATTAAGGTTTCCTCAAAAATTACATATTCTAGATTAAAGTTTTAGCCAATCTATTGTCATGCCGCGTCAATACACAACATGTTAATTGTATGTATGCATGTGTTGTATGTATACGTATATGTACCCAACTTTTTCATATTCGTAGTAAAAATTCTATTTAGTTGCATACCTTGAAGACTAACTCTTTCAGTAAAGTATTTTACAAATTCACCTGTCTTAAGTTGTATGAATTATCATTGGTTGGGCTGCATTTTCCATAAAATTGTGGAGAATGTGAATGTTTGATTATAATGTGTAACAAACATGGCAAACATACCATTTCATTCTCCTTACGTCTTCCCAGCAGTGAAAGTTCTTGAAAGGCCAAACCTGCTTTTTCCTCAGCTATTGCAAGCAGCCGGAATTCAACTATTTCTTACTCAAAGGAAATCTCTCATCTATCATAGATGATTTCAAATGATTCGATTTCTTAAATCTCTTTTTGGAGTACCCACCCATCCATATTATTTTAGGTCAAAATTAGGTATGTGATATATTATTTTGGGTTAAATTAGAAGGGATCCAACTCTTCATCTATAATAATCCTAGCTTATTTTCCCACCCTCCATTACCATCTTACATGGGTAGTTAGTTAGTTTTGAACATTATTTTCAAGTGTCAATAGTAACTAAAAAAGAAAAACAGTTGCTTTTCGGAATGATTAGTAGCTGCTGGTGTGTGCCAACCAGGCATATTTGACACAAACGAAAATGCAACCAGAGGTAAACAAAAGAATACATGTCACTTCCTCTACCACTCTTTTACCACCTAATCAAATCTGAACCACACAATTATCTTCCTCCTCTTACAAATTTCCAATTGCCAATTTGGACCTGATTAAAATTACTAAGACTAAAGATTTCCAGTCCCTTCAAAATTTAAAAACCACTCACTCATCACTCTTCGTAGACTTCTCTTTTTCCATTTCCCTCATATTCACTTCCGTTATCTTCTTTTCATCCATACATGGCAGTGGTGTGCCTCCCGCTCTTATCCTACCCACAACCCACTACTTAAAATGCGCACCCTCCTCACTCTGAGGCCACCACCACCGCCATCTGTGCTCCTTCCATGCCTCTCTTCCTTATCCCCACATCCTTCTTTCCTCTTCAGCTTCAGACCCAACAAGCGTTTTCACTTCCTCAGCCCATGTTCTTCTCTCAAACAGTCCAAGAAGAAGTCTCTCCAGAAGACCACCAGGCCTCCCAATGCTCCTCCTCCTCAGAGCCAGCGCTGGTTCTTCAATAACCCAAAGGGTGACGAAGGTGGTGAAATTGAAAAGACTGATGAGACTGACGGTGCCTTAGGCGGTGACACTGCGCTTAAAGGTACTATTTTGGCCGGTGTTTTCTTGGTTGGTATTGTTGGTGGGTTTGCTTGTGTTGGGTATTTGTACAAGGACCAGATCAACGCCTTCTTGAATCAGTTTTCCACTTTCATTGAAGGTAAATTTGCGAAATTTTTGTACCCTTTTCAGTTTTTTTTATCTCAATTCTGCTTGGAATTTGTTAATTGGTGTTTAAGATTTATTTATTTTTCTTATAATAAATGGGTGTTAGGATCGGGGTCTGGTAGGTAAGATTGCAATTTATGCAAATTCGATATCAGCTTTTTCAGGTCTTCGTGGGATTTACTTTTGATTGTATGTATAGTCATGTGGAACTTTTGCTTATCTCATTGTATTTTAGGAAAATTTGACAACTTCGAGGCAGACTGCATGTTTTGACTCAGAACCTCAACTCTTTTTTTGGTACTGAACTCTAGCCTTTTGAAGGATTTTGGATGGTGGGGTAATGCTGATTTAGAAAACTTATCTGTAAAAAAGAATCTGGGGGTGTGAACTATGAAAGCAATAGAAGAGCTCTTAGCCTATTGTTCACGTTTTCCCCAACTCATGACACGGTTTGGCATCAGAATCTATCCAGGGACCTAACAGACAGTATAATCGTTACATTGCTAGATAGCATTCCCATGTCCTTTATGATTTCATGCCCAATATATGAAATTATATTCAACCAAAAACACCAAAAGCTGTACCAACCTACAAAAAACACAGATACAAATGAAATAAAAAATTGCACAGGAAGTTGCCGCTTAAGCGTTAAAACATGCTCTGTTGTATTTTTCTTTGAAATTGAATCTTCATGTGAGTAGTTGATTCTGAGTATCCTCAGACTTGAAAATTTTGTTGAATCATCTAGTGCTTCTCCATAGCCAGATATAGTATATATAAGCTGATCAAGCTATCAAACTACAGTAGAGATTTTTCTCCCCTTCAAGTTAGCGGTAGCCTGCCAAATTCATTAGCCCAATCCCCAGCTCTTCTATTAAGAAAACTATATTGCAGAAGTTGATGCCATATTGTGTTTGAGTAGCTGCAGTTGCAAAAGAAAAAGGGTACTCTGTCGAAGTACCTTTTTCCAATTTCAAATCACATAACTGTGTAGGTTGCAAGTTTATCCATATATATCTAAAATGCTTTGTTTTCCTAGGTTCTCTCCTCTTGTTAAGAACGCATGCCTTTGCTTAATTTTATGGAGCTCTAGCAATAGAATTTTCCCTTTAATGCTGTATTTTGAACATAAGACCTACCCCTTGGGGCCCTACCACAATCAACCCTTACTCTGTGGTCAGAAAATAGGAACACATCTTCTTCCTATGTTACCCCTGGAAATGCCAGTTCTTGTACCTTGCTTGAATTATCTTTTGATAAAATCAGAAGACATCATTAATATAGGGTTTCCGTTTCTGGTTTTTTATTTTTTTTATCTTAATAATGCTATAATTGACTTAATCTCATAGAGCTTTTGGTGAACAGGTTATGGTCCAGCTGGATATGCTTTGTTTGTAGCAGTTTATGCAGGACTGGAAGTATGCATTTGATACCCATTCTTTGAATATGTTGCTATCTCTATATGGATTTCCTGCCTAATCTTCTTTTCCCACTTGGATGCTCACCCTTATGCTAGTTATTTAATTCACCTATACAAGTTAAACATAACTACACATTTCTTATCATGAACAAATAATTGTGTTGCCCCTTTGGGTCTTTTACATTCATTTTACAAATTATATTTCATTGGCTAAATAATCTGGTTGTTCATGGGCTGTATGCTCTGAACTTGATTTCCTCACATCTCTTTTATAACAGCATTCAACAGTTGTTGAAATTCTAGCATCTGTTTTTTATTTAAAATGATACAGAGAGCCAAAACAGTCTTTTGTCAACTACTGACTGAGTGAAATTTATGTTTTCCTAGATCCTTGCGATTCCAGCTGTTCCATTGACCATGTCAGCTGGTCTTCTTTTTGGCACAGTTATTGGCTCTATTCTAGTCTCCATAAGCGGAACAGTGAGTAATTTTCTTTCCTGAGTGTACAAAGGACAAATTGTAAATATGTACTTAGTTTGTTTTTTCCTGACATTATTTACCCATTTCAGGTGGCTGCTAGTGTTGCTTTTCTCATTGCTAGATATTTTGCTCGTGAGCGCATTCTTAAAATGGTTGAGGGAAACAAAAAATTTCTTGCAATTGATAAGGCTATTGGAGAAAACGGGTTTAGAGTTGTCACTCTCCTTCGCTTGAGCCCTTTGCTTCCTTTTTCTTTGGGGAACTATTTATACGGATTGACATCTGTAAAGTTTGTTCCATACGTGTTGGGAAGGTTTGCTGCCCTGCTTCTTGTTCTCTTAGTTAAAGTTCTTACTTCACAAATTGGTTGTTCTTATTGGCTGCTCTTGAGAGTTAGGGGATTGAGCCGGATTTAGGACCTGTTTGAGCTCAGGTCAATTTGTTAGGCTCTTGGCATGATAAATGAGACAAGTATTTTAGCCCAAGCTTAACCCCGTCGTTAAGTATGTGATTAGGGCCAATATATCAGCTAGTTCAAGGTCTTCATTTTTTCCATCTACTTTTTATCCTTTTTAGATTGAAGAGTCCCAACATATGACAATACATATTGTCAGTTTGAAGTAATAGAACTGAAAGTTAAAGGGAAATGAATTATTTTCTTGCTGTTTTCAGTTGCAGTTTCCACTGATTCTCATGATGTAAATACTTTTGCTCCATTTCAATTATGTAAAGATTATTAAGTGTACCGTTAGGTGTCTCATATAGAAGATGTAGGGCTAAAATATCAAATAAAAGTTGATAAGTTGAGCATGATTGCACTGGCGCATGGGAAAAAGAATTATAACAAAAGGGCGGAGAGTATGATGGTCATGACTCATGTCTGGTAGTTTACCTTCAGAAGTAGTTGATTTTTATATCATGAACTAATTTAAACATGTGTACGTAATATTGTAACATCCTTCACTCTGGTTCTAAGTCAATCTATACTTGACTTGCAGTTGGCTGGGGATGCTTCCTGGAACATGGGCTTATGTGAGCGCTGGTGCATTTGGGCGAGCCATAATTGTGAGTTTCTCTCTGTTTTTCCTGTTCTGTTGTGGTGGTTCTATGTATTTATTATATATGACTTATATTATTATGTTTTTTTTTCCTTTAATACTACTTTCTCTCTCTCCGTCAGTAGGGGATGCGGGTGTGTGAATGAGTATGAAGCAAATGATTTATACTTACCATACTGCAAAAACAGGATAAATTCAATTTGATATTGACAATGATCAGATCAAAACAAAACAGTAGAAAAGAGAAATCATTGCTAATTAATGTCAACTATCATCTCTTTTGATGATATATTGCTATGCTTATTCTTCCATGATAAGAGTCCATTCAAAAAACAGTTTCTTTAAAGCAACAATAGTACGAAATGACAACTATAGAACAAGTTATTGACTTATTACACATCATTATGTTATAAGAAAGCGAATCCAGTGGGATATTTTCTTAACGTCTTTGTACCTTGTGAGATATGTTTCCTGTCTATAAGGTCTCTGACTTGGGGGCTTTGTTTGTCAGCTTAACATGTTGCAATGAGTTAATATAAAGTAGCACAGTGAGGAATATATAATGTATGTGACTTGGACCACCAATAATAACCATCAGTGAAGGTGACCAGTGTAATACAAATGTAGACAAATCTAGTCCTACACATGCGGAGACAGATTTTATGTTAGGACGTGGCTGGTTAATTTTTACTGGGCGACTCCATTTAAATCAAACTCTCATTCTGTATGTAGTACTTCTGTGTAAAGAGTGATAGAGTGAAAATCTTTAACACCTTAGGAGGTTCTTACTTTATATGATAAAATAAATGGTTCCCAGATCTATGTCAGGTATCAACCTCTATATTATGTGGTTGATATGGTTATAAGTCTGGGAAAATGAAAGTTGTCAAATAACATCCAGATGCATTGGTGCTTTTCATGCTGGCATCTGCAACACTGGGCTCTACACTTATGTATTACTATTAACGCATTGGCTTTTCATACAATTACCATTGGGCATCGTATCATGTTAGTTACACTTGTTTGCAATCTTTGTGACGCCGGAATTTATAAATTGAATATTCAGAGAATTTTAGCAGCTGTCAAATTGGTTTAGAGTAGAGATAATTTATGTATTTTTATCTGTCTTTTGGGGGTTAATTTGACAGCTTTGGGTGAAGTCAGGATTAATTCTTAGGGGTCTTGTAAGAAAAGACACTTTACAAGCCAAAGCAGCTAATAATCTTGAAGCCGATAGGAATTTCTTACAGTTATTAACTTCATTGTGTTAAGTCCTCAGATTAGTTGTAGACTGGTGCTTCTCTTTTATCATAAATTTATGACTCTGGTCTGGCGAGATGCTTGCTCGATTTATTTGTGAGACACATTGGATTATACGTTTGGGAATTTGTGTTTCCTTATACTAATATTCTTCAATTAAGGAAATTAATCGGTTTCCATCTGGTTACAGGAGTTTCATTTCGATTCATTTGTTAATATTTTCCTGGGTGATGTTTCAGCAAGAAGAATCTGAGCTTGGTTTGCCTGGAGGAAATGGTCAGCTACTGACACTAGGGCTTGGACTGTTAGCCACAGCATTGGCTGCTGCTTATGTTACACGATTAGCAAAGGTACTCCCCAAATTGACAAGCATTTTCAATTGTACCATTTTTTTTTTGGTCTGTTAAGAAACATGGCATTGCCAAAAGCTTCTCATTGTTTGGTTTGAGAAGGCAAATATTTTTACCCATATTGAATTGATTTTCTTGGTGCTTCTGGTGCAGGATGCTGTAAAAGATATCGATTAGCCTAATCGGATTAGGTGACGAGTCTCAGTCTGGCCATGAATTCTACACAAGATATTTCAAACATTAAAAAAGAACCCAAA